AAATGTCTATTCATGTCCTCTGCCAGTTTTTAATTGGATTATTTGTGTTTTTGGGGGTGTTGAGTTGTGTAAGTTCTTTATATATTTTGCATATTAACCCCTTATTGGATATGTCATTTGCAAATATTTTATCCCATTCAATAGGTTGCCTTTTTTATTTTGTTGATGGTTTCCTTTGCCGTGCAGAAGCTTTTTATTTTCTTGTAGTCACAATAGTTTAATTTTGTTTTTGTTCCCCTTGCCAGAGGAGACCTATATCTAGAAAAATGTTTCCACAGCCAGTGTCAAATAAATTACTACCTATGTTTTCTTCTAGAAGACATCCAGATAGCCAGCAGACATATGAAAAGATGCTCAGCATCACTAATTATCAGGGAAATGCAAATCAAAACCACAATGAGGTATCACCTCACACCTGTCAGAATGACTAAGATTAAAAAAAAAAAACAAAACGGGCGCCTGGGTGGCGCAGTCGGTTAAGCGTCCGACTTCAGCCAGGTCACGATCTCGCGGTCCGTGAGTTCGAGCCCTGCGTCAGGCTCTGGGCTGATGGCTCAGAGCCTGGAGCCTGTTTCAGATTCTGTGTCTCCCTCTCTCTCTGCCCCTCCCCCGTTCATGCTCTGTCTCTCTCTGTCCCAAAAATAAATAAACGTTGAAAAAAAAATTAAAAAAAAAAAAAAAACAAAACATAAGAAATAACAGTGTTGGCAAGGATGTGGAGAAAAAGGAACCCTCTTGCACTGTTGGTGGGAATGCAAATTTGTAGAGCCACTGTGGAAAACGGTATGGAATTTCCTCAAAAATATTAAAAATAGAATTACCATATGATACTGTGTATTCACCCAAAGAAATGAATGGAATATTCATACACACAATGGAATATTCATATTCACACACAATGGAATATTACTTAACCATAAGAAAGAATCTTGCCATTTGCAATGATGTGTACAGATCTAGAGGGTGTAATGTCAAACAGAGAAAGACAAATACCATATAATTTCACTCATATATGCAATTTGAGAAACAAATGAACAAACGAAGAAAAGAGACAAAAAACCCCACCAGACTCTTAAATATAGAGAACTGATGGTTATTAGAGGGGAGGTTTGTAGGGGGATGGGTGAAATAGATGAAGGAGATTAAAAGTACCCATGTGATGAGCACTGGGTAATGGATACAATGGTTGAATCACTATATTGTATGCCTGAAACTAACTTAACACTGTATGTTAATTACACTTCAATAAAAATAAAAAAAGAAGTAGGCTTATTTCTTTTAGTAGATAGGGCACATTAAACCTAAAGCTGCTCCTAGATAGGGCCCCCCCGCCCGGTGTTCAGAGTATATATTTTTAAACTTGAAACACTTTGTTCAGAAACCATATAATCTGATGCTAAACACGTACACACTTAACACAGCTGCTGTGGTGTGCGAGGCCTGGAGCCCCACCTATTGGGCACTTCGGCCTCTCTCCTTTTCCTGGGGGTCTTGGATTGAGTGTTATGGGGATATGGAAGTTCTGTAGAAAATGGATCTGGTCTAATCTCTTCCTTATACAGATGGGGGAAGTGAGACTAGATGGGGTGGTGTCACTGTAACACATGTTGCCTGATTAAAATAGTTCAGCTGACTCACCTGTAAAATAATCACAATTTTTTAACATAAGGATCAAGGGCATATGTTGGAGAGATACTAAAGAGAGTAATAATACAACAACAGGACCCCAAAATTGACATTAAAAGGTTATCCCCCAAACCTATTCTTTCTATATCAAAGGTGATTTTACAGCAGAGGTATGACTTATGAAATAGGATTTTCTTTTCTTTTTTCTTCTTTAATTTGGAAAAAGTTTTGAAAATACAGAAAAGTACAGAGAATAAAATAAAAAACTACCATGGGCAGTTGTTAATCTTTTGTCTTCTTTGCTTTGTGTATAACATATACTGTTATCTATCTATCCATGGCTCATAAACAAGAAAGCAAGCTACAAAAGTCCAGTAGTTTAAACTGGGGGAAACTCCATGAGGATGATTTAGATAACATTAGATAATACAGAATACATATAATATATATGATACATATATGTATGTATATATTTATGAAACAAAGAAGACAAGAATATATATAAACATTGTATATTTTAAAAGAGTATATTTTATTTTATTTATTTTATTATTTTTTTAATTTTTTAACGTTTATTTATTTTTGAGACGGAGAGAGACACAGCATGAATGGGGGAGGGGCAGAGAGAGAGGGAAACACAGAATCGGAAGCAGGCTCCAGGCTCTGAGCCATCAGCCCAGAGCCTGACGCGGGGCTCGAACCCACTGACTGCGAGATCGTGACCTGAGCCGAAGTTGGACGCTCAACCGACTGAGCCACCCAGGCGCCCCAAAAGAGTATATTTTAAATATTTATAATTATTATTATAAAACTCAGATATGCTTAAATTGTTTATATATTTATATACATGTGGAAATTTAAAAAATCAACACATAAAGTACAGTTGAAATCCTCTCTGTATTCCTTTTTAGCTCATTCCTCTCCTTTCCCCATTTCCAGAAGCAAACACACTCATGAATTTAATCTGGACCCTTGTGTCCAATAAATACATTTGTTTGCTTCTTTTACCCACAAAGTAGATTTTTTATTATCAAAATATTAGTTGAAATTAATTGGATCTTAACATAGCTGTTAGCATGCCTGCCTTGAGATAATAAATTGATGTTTTGCTGAGAGAGGCAATTTTAGCAACTTTAAGCGTTTAACTGGATCCCTGAAAATAAAGACCTCAGATTTCTTGAAATAACTACAAACTCTTCCACTGTTTATTATCTTCTTCCTTGGATCCTTGTGCAGAGCCTGACTGACTCAAATTTACCCTTCTACTTCTTGAGTGTTGGTTATTTGGTTAATGTTCTAGAAGACAGAAAAGGCTCTTAAGGTCACAGCCAATGAAAGCAGACATGACAGGCACCATCCTGAGGGTGAAGGAAACAAACAAAAAAATACACCAGAAATGGGTTCTCTGCATACAAGACACCGGGTAGAGAAAAATGTTAGATTACATTAAGAAGGCGGAGATATAGTATCGCTTAGAGAGATTTCCATAAAAAATGATTGAAAGTTTTAAAAATGTCTAATGCTTTGAGGCTCTGGAAGTCACAGAGTCCAGTTCTGCGTCCTGGCTCTGTCACTTACTATTTGGATGACCTTAACTTCTCTGTGTTCGGGTCCTTCCAGTAAAATGAGAATAATAGTACGTGCTGCATAGAGTTGTTGTGAAATGAAGTGAGCTAATCCACGTCAAGCATAGGAACAGTGCCCCTCACAGAGGCGGCACATGACACATGTATGCTGCTAGTCATACTAGTAGTGGTGGTGGTAGCGGTTGCAGTAGTGGTCGTTAGTAGCCGTAGTAGTTATAGTCATGGTAGTAGTAACATTTGGAAAACTAGCCATGTGGAAGATCATAACCTTGTGTGTGGGAGGGTACAGACTCCAGAACCTCACTGTGTCCTCTGGATCCTCCACACAGTTGGTAAAAACCAATTGGGTGGGCCTGGGGACAACGACACTACAGCATATTGGGTGGGTGTAGACGGTGCACAATCAACTTTAGCTGTTATGCATATTCCAGATACAGAATGCCTTAGTGTTCTTAAGGCACATCCTATTTTTAAAGTGTAGAGTCAAGCTCGCAATTTCCTCATAGCAAGAAGTCAAGGGAAGCTGGAGGAAGGCTCTGATTGCATTGATTAGTTTATCCTAGAGCAATTTGTCTAGGTTTCAGAAGGACTGTCTGCAATCACTGCTGGAAATACAGCTCTGACTAGTCACAGCTCTGTGGAAGTACAAGGAGATCCAAAAGGTGGGCTCTTTTTCCTTGAAAAGGGGCGGCTAAGCTCCCTCTGAAATTCTTTTTTGATAAGATCCCCAGAGGAAGGGAGGCCTAGAAGATGTCCTTAAAAATAGACCAGTGGGGGTGCTTGGGTGGCTTAGTCAGTTAATTGTCCAACTCTTGATTTTGGCTTAGGTCATGATCTCATGGTTTGTGAAATCCAGCCCCACATCTGGCTCTATGCCAACAGGGCAGGGCCTGCTTGGGATTCTCTCCCTCTCTTTCTGCCCGTTCTCCGCTTGTGCTCAATTTCTCGAAATAAATAAATAAACTTAAAAAAAAATAGACCAGTGAATTCTGGTAACAAGTGCTTTACAGTTCTAAAGCATTTCTGCACATATTAACAGTACCAAACTTCATAAGAAACCTATGAGAAAGGAGCTATTATCCCCCCCTTGTCAGAGGAAGAGGTGAGGCACTGAAAATTTCAGTGACTTGCTCAAAATTCCTATATTAGGAGGAGAATCCAGCTCTTTCCTGCTTCTAGTTCAGAACTTTTATTACTCATACAGGCTCTGGTGGAATGTTCCTTGCTGGCACGTACTTGTCTTTGTGGGAACAATTTCATTCCTCCAACTTCTTTGTTACCTTATTAGTTTTAGGCAGCTTAATTCTAAATCCCATACCCTTAGTAGTTATGTTCATAGGCAGTCTGTGGATGCATGTGTACGTGTGTATGAATGCACACGTACTCACCCATGCACACACACAAGTGCATGCTGGGGGGGGGGCAAGTGAATTTTTTTCATTTTGTATTTCTTTTTAGTGTACTTTTAAAAGATGAGAATCTCAGATTGAAGTTGAAGACCATTGTGATTCAGCCAGATTTTGAGTATGCTAAATCACTTTTCTGGATTGAAACCTGAGAAGTAATTCAGTCCAAACTGAAAGGGAGTGATTTTTCACATTAAATGAACCTTTTTTTTTTTTCCTTTTCTGAAAACATGATCTAATGTCTTTTATAAAAGAAGAGCCAAAGAACTTCTGTTGCAGTCTCCAGCTGTCAAACCTGCCTCCCATACTTTTGCCCTGCAGCAAAAGGCAGGGACATCAGGTGACAAACCCCAAATTTCAACTAGTCACACAAATTACAGACCTTCCTATCATGATGTCCTCTTGACCTTTTGCCTTTCCCCTACAATGAAGAATGAGACACAGTTTAAATCAAAATGACTCTCATGGGCAATTTTACAAAACAAATAGAAGCACAGAGCCTCGCCCCCACCCCCTCCCCCCCAGTTCCCCCCCGCTGGGCCAGCCTGTTCCCTCTCTCCATGCAGGCAGGAGCTAATAATTAGAAAGACCTTTCCCACCCCAGACAATGCTGCTCTGCTTGCCAAGAGCCCTGTTTGACTTGAAGAAAGAGTTTGACAAAGTAAATATTTACAAAAACAGCTAGAGTCAGATGCCAAGTCCCGCTTCTGGGGAACACTTAAAGAAGTATTTACAAGAAAAGGCTTCTCCGTGGGGCACCGCACTGCCCGGTGGGGATGCTGATTCAAGGTCCATTCTGGCTCTATCAGTGTTTCTGTTAGCCTTTTCCATGCCAGGATGCTTTTCACAGAGTATATGAATAATTACATTTACCATTGAAGACTCAACTCAGAAATGTACCAATTCGGGACCACAGGAAAGAGTCTTTAAATGTTACTGCTCCAGCACTAGGGAGAAAGCTTTGTGAAGTCAACAGAGAGGAAATTAAAAGGCAGGGCTAATTAGCACTGGGAAAACATCATTATTAAAAAAAAAAATTTTTTTTTTTTTGGAGATAGATCGATTACCGCACGAGACCTGGTCATGTTTGTATTACCTGTAGATCTGTTGTCTATAACACTGTGGGACTTGAGAGCTCAAACATGGTGAGAATCAAAACAGGTGCCCCCGCCTGTTCCCATTATGCACATTAGCCCGTGGCCTGTGCACAGCCTGTTAAACAGCTGAATTTGAAACAATCATGGTGCAGGCCAAACATTAGCCCGAAGGCCTGTCTGTCTAGGGATTTGGCCATTTACATTGACTTTTTTTTTTTTACCCACATTTTTCATGAAACACAAATATTTGCCATGGCAACTGGGGTGTCACATGACATGCTGGTACATAAACAGCTTGGAAATCTCTTAAGGGGGCACAGCCCACCAGTGCTGCAAATCCAGGGAAAACATCTTGAGGAAGATGAAGGTCTGGGAAGAGCAGGTAACAGTCTATGTAGACACAGTAGGATTCATTTCTTCTCTGCCACTCTTCCTTCTCTCTTTCTTCCTTCTTTTTTTTTTTTTTTTTTTTCCTAATGGGAGCAGCTGTAAATATGACCACATAGGGTAAGCCCAGAAAAAGACACTGCCAGCTGTCTCCTTTTTCTGGTGAAAAGTTTCAATTGTCACAACTCTGTGGCTCATAAACATAAGAAAGCAAGCTTCAAAAGTCCAGCACCTTTAAACCCAGAGAAACTCCATGAGGATTAATTATGTTGTACTGTGAGCTCCTAATGTCAGAGAATACAGAATTTCTTCTCTTTCCTCATTAGGATATCTGGACAAAACTGGAGAGCTTGCTTTTTATCCTGTGCTTAAAGACAAATGAAGTCGGGTAAAACCTCATAATAACATACCCTATGCAATGTGAATTTGGATACAAAGCAATAGCTATTGTATTCCAGACTCCTGGACCAGCTAGCGATATAGGTTGGCCCAGTCATTTAGTTAATGTGACAATAATGTGACATGCTTGAATTTTTTAAGACCCCACTGATAATGTAATGCTAGAGTTTACTTATACAGCAATCACCCTCTAAAAATCAAATGCATCTCAACAGCTGAAGTAGTTATTTCTATGTCAGTGGTACAATTCTATCAGATGTGTGCACTACCAAAAACCTCACTGAGAAAATTGTAAATAACAACAGTTTTCTTTTGTTAGAAGGATGAATACCTTTGATGTTTGTTTCTTGGCAGAGACCTTCTTCACTTCCACTGGAATCAGCTGTGGTTTCTGAGGTGTACCGAAAGGGGCTGTGGACAGAGGCGATGCAATGTTACCTCTTCCAGAAAAAGGCTGAGTCATTGGGTGGATGTTACTGGGTTTGCCACTTGAAAGTCAAATGGCTCTGACACCCTTTGACTGTTCACTCTCAGCCCTGCCTGTATCAATCCAATCAAACATTTGTGATCACGGACTTCAAAAGGAAAGCAAAAAGCACGGGAGGGCAACTGTTCCATCAGAATATAAGATCAGCTCGTTTTATGCAAACTGCCCAGATGAAAAGGCAAATTTTAAAATGGCAGGCAAATTAGAGAGTAATATTTGTCATATAAAAATGTTTCACTATAAGATCTTTTTAAGTAGCCATATTCCCAAGTTCATTTTGGTAACAATATAACTACCTATGCTGGACTATTCTGTGTAGTCAGTAAAAAAGACAATTCTGAAGAATTTAAATGGCTTGGGGGAAATAATACAAGTGAAAGAACACAGTAAATATTACTTTTGAAATAATATTTATAATAACAATATTAATGAAATCTATAAGCAACAACTTTTAGAGCACACATCCGGTCCATAGGTGGGTAGGTCTACCTGCTAGACAGACAGTGCTCGGGAGAGAAACCACATCTCTCCTGTTGCCTGGCAGCAAATCCAACTGCCCTTTACAAATAGCTCACGTCTGACTTGAGGGGATTCAAGTCAGGGGAGAAATTCTCAGGGGAGAAAAATCCTTACCCTACTGTCTCCCAAGAAAGAAAACAAAAATAATTAAACAGTTAATTGAGTCAAAAGAGTGAGGTTTTTTTCCCAACTGTCTTAGCGCACCCCTTCTCTGTCTATTTTGTAATAACCATATAGAAAGGACAGATACTGATCAAAAACAGCACCTCAGTATACAATTTGGAATCCCACCATGGGCTCCCAACTCTCTCACGTTGTCTCAAGTTGTTTCTTCAGCCATCTCTTAAAAAGTAGCACGAATTCCAGAGTCTTGCCACTAAAATTCACCTCCACCAAAGGCAACTTGGTTTGACCTGCTTTTCAGACTTCCTGGCTGCCAGCAAGACTCCCTGACTGTAAAACTGACCAGCACCCTCCCTAAGCTTGGGCAGTGAAGACTCCATTCTAAGTCTGTAAGTTTTGCCTTGACCTCTGTACTCTCCTGCCCTCCCACTTCTGAAGACCAGTGCACACCCTGTACTTAGGCTGCTTTAAATCCACAGATTCACCCGTAAAGGCTACTATTCCTATTGTCTGCAGGCTCAGTATACTTTTTGTTAAACTATCAGGCTCCTGCAGACAAGTGGGATCTTTGGTTAAATTCCCATGTTCAGACAAAACAGCAGCTTGACAAGTTTTTAAGTAGGCATACTTTTTAGAGCATTTTAGTAAAATTTTAATGAAATTTGGTAGAATAAAGATATAAAAGATTTGTAATTTCATATGGATAATTCACAGTTAATGGTATATCTAAAAAGTTTTTAAACATTTTTCTTAGTTACTTGCAGAAAATCTGTCACTAAATTATAACTCTATGTGGCCTTAGATTTTATGGGACACATATATTTGAAGAATGTGTCTGCATTTTCTTTTTTTTTTAATTTTTTTTTTCAACATTTATTTATTTTTGGGACAGAGAGAGACAGAGCATGAACGGGGGAGGGACAGAGAGAGAGGGAGACACAGAATCGGAAACAGGCTCCAGGCTCTGAGCCATCAGCCCAGAGCCCGACGCGGGGCTCGAACTCACGGACCGCGAGATGGTGACCTGGCTGAAGTCGGACGCTTAACCGACTGCGCCACCCAGGTGCCCCTGTGTCTGCATTTTCATTGGAATTGTATCATAAGGTACTGCCTATATTTTGTTACCTGATTTCTCTTCTGGAAAATGTTTATCTGTATGATAAACTTTGCTGGAGTTAATGTCAGGGGGAAAAATCTTGTCTTTCTGGACAAACCTGTATGCTTTTGTGGTAGTTACTGATATGTACCTGCCCAATAGCCATCCCCCTTTCTTTCTTGCTAATTTTAGAACTTCATTTTTTTTTTTCAATCTGTCCAGCTCCTAGGGTTGCCAGATTTAGCAAAAAAAAATTTTAGAGGACATACAGTTAAATTTTAATTTTAGGTAAACAACAAATAATGTTTTAGTATAAATATACCCCAAATAGTAAATATATTTAATATCCAACAAAGAACAGAATTTTCATGGATGGATTGGACTAAGCATAACTTACTATATGAAGAATTTAGTGTAAATATGCCCCAAATCCTAGCCCTAAGCCTAAACCTAACCCTATCTCTGGACCCTCACTTTCCCAGCCTTTCTTATAGCTAACAGTAGCCACGTGACCAGTGAGATGTAAGGGGAAAATCTATCAGGGCTTCTGGGAAGAGACTGATTGTTTTCCCCTCTTCCTGCCTTGAATGTGTACATCAAGGCCCAGATCTGCAAGAGCCGTGGAAGAGCCAGGAGGTGGCAAGCATGAGGATGAAATCAAACATGCTAAAGAAGGTAAAGCAGAAAGAGAGCTGTTGCAATTCTTTTGATGAGTACCACCAGCCCTATGCTGCCTGCTTCCTGATTTCTTATGTGTGAGACCGAGGAACCCCTCATTGTTTAAGCCACTGTTAAGTGAGGATTTCTGATATTGCAGTCCCATACATTCCTGGCTAGTACTCCTCCCTTTCTTTGTCTTATGGCCTGTGGTAGGGCCTCAAGGACAATGTTCAATGATGGTGGCAGTAGTGGTCATTCTTGAACTGTCTCTGTTTTTAATGGAAAGATAGAATCCTCCTAAAGCTGGACTGCTGAGAATATTGTTGGCCCTGGGGTTTTGGTTGAACAAGGCAATAATCAGGGTCAGAAAATCCTCTTCTACTCTGCTCCAAGATTTTCACCTATTTATTAATGTTGAATTGCATTACATGATTTTTTAATTTTCCCATATATGGAGATGATCATAGGATTTTTCTTTTCTAATCTGTTAATGTGGTGAATTGTGTTGCTTGGTTTTTCTAATGTTGAGTCTTCCTCACATCCTTCCTTATCATGATGAAGGTAAAAAAGCATACTGCTAACTTTTATTTGGAATGTTTGCCTCTGTGTTCCCGAGATCGACCTATGTATTCTTTTTAATTTTTTTTAATGTTTATTTTTGAGAGAGAGAGAGAGAAAGAGAGAGACAGAGCACAAGTAGGGGGAGGGGCAGAGAGAGAAGGACACAGAATCCGAAACAGGCTCCAGGCTCTGAGCTGTCAGTGCAGAGCCTGATGCAGGGCTTGAACTCACTAACCCACTAACTGTTTAAATTGCACTAACTGTGAGATCATGACCTGAGCCAAAGTCGGACACTCAACTGACTGAGACACCCAGGTGCCCCAACCCATGTATTTTTTTATTGCACTGTCCTCATCCAGTTTTGGTAGCATAGCTATAGTAGCTTCATAAAATCAGTTGGCAAGCTTTTCTTCTTTTCTTTTTCTATGAAATGGTCTAAGATGATGATTAGTGATCCTTTAAAGTTAGTAGAACTTGCCTATAAAAGGGCCTGAGGACTTTTTCCTTCTGGTATATTTCTGTGTGCATACATGTGTGCACACACCCACATGTGTTGTTTAACACAGAAATCTATTTTTGATTACCAGTTCAAATGATCTAATGGCATCATTTTCTTTGAGTTTCCTGCTTTTTTTTGAGTTAATTTTGACAATTTTTATTTCTCAAGGAAAATTCTCATTTCATTAAAAAATACATGGCATAAAGTTATCATACGACAATTTTAAAAAAAATTCTATGTATCTTTTTTATCTTAATATTATTTCTTTGTGCCTTCTCTTTTTTAATTTCAGATTTATTGAGGTATAATTGACATACAAAATTGTAAGATATTTAAAGTGTACATTGTGGGAGTTTGAGAACACACACACACACACACACACACACACACATTGTGGAAGAATTCCTTCCCATCTAGTTAACACGTACATCATCTCACTTATTTATTTATTTATTTATTTATTTATTTATTTATTTAGTATTTATTTATTTAAAAAATTTTTTTAAACATTTATTTATTTTTGAAAAGAGAGAGACAGAGCATGAGTGGGGGAGGAGAAAGGAAGAGGGAGACACGGAATCTGAAACAGGCTCCAGGCTCTGAGCTGTCAGCACAGAGCCTGACACGGGGCTTGAACTCACGGACCGCGAGATCACGACCTGAGCCAAAGTCGGACGCTAAACTGACTGAGCCACCCAGGCACCCCTCACATATTTATTTATTTTTTAAAAATTAATGGGAACATTTAACTTCTCTCTTAGCAAATGTCAATTATACACTATATCATTATCAACTGTAGTCACAATGTTTTACATCAGATCTTCAGACATTATTCATTTTATAGTGGAAAGTTTGTACCCTTTACCAACCTGTACCTACTTCTCAATCCCTGGCACTCACTTTTATATTCTCTGTTTCTATATATTTGACATTTAAAAAAATTGCACATATAAGTGATACCATGCAGCATTTGTCTTTCTGTGCCTGGCTTATTTCACTCAGCATAATACCCTCCAGATTCATGTTGTCCCCTCCATGTTGTCACAAATGGCAGGATTTCCTTCTTTTTTAAGGCTGAATAACATTATATTATGTTATATTATTTATATAATATTATTTATATTATATTATATTATATTATATTATATTATATTATATTATATTTATTATATTATATTATATTATATCATATTATATTCACACTCACACACACACACAAATATATGTCACATTTCCTTTTGCCATTCATCCATCCACAAACACTTAAATAGTGTCCATATCTTGGCTATTATGAATACTGCAGTGAAAACGGGAATACATACCTCTTGAGATAATGATTTTTGTTTCCTTTGGCTGTATACCCAGAAGTGGGATTGCTGATCAGATGGTAGTTCTACTTTTAATTTCTAGCAAAACTTGTATATTATTTCCCCTAGTGGCTTTACTAGTTTACATTTTCCCCAGCA